ATCTATCTATCTATCTATCTATCTATCTATCTATCTATCTATCTATCCATCATGTATCTATCAATCTATCCATCCATCCATTATCTATCTATCTATCTGTCTGTCTGTCTGTCTGTTTATCATCTATCTATCTATCCATCATCTATTTATCTATCTATCTATCCATCATCTATCTATCTATCTATCTATCTATCTATCTATCTATCCATCCATCATACATTTATCTATCTATCTATCTATCTATCTATCTATCTATCTATCTATCTATCTATCCATCATACATTTATCTATCTATCTATCTATCTATCTATCTATCTATCTATCTATCTATCTATCTATCTATCTATCTATCCATCCATCCATCCATCCATCCATCCATCCATCCATCCATCCTATTTAGAAACTGCGCATCTTGTTCACCTTTGCAACTTCGGATGCTAGAGGTTTAAGCCTGGAAACCTTCTGTCAGCGATGCGGATGCCTTAGGGCGATGCTACCATCTCCCTATATCTGTGCCACTAGAAGAAAATTGTGCGCTCAAAGGCACAAAAAAAGTGTGGGAAAAGCCAGGACAAGGATGGGAATCCTTTTCACAGTGTCCCGTCCCCACAACCAGGGATTTCATGGTGTGGTTTTGAGGCCTCTGCCTTTAGAGATCGCTGAGAAGGGCAATCTTTTTTTTCTTTTCTTTTTGAGTCAACCTCTTCCATGTATAAACATTTTAATAATTTGTGCCAGGGAACATGGGTGACGATGGATGTTCAAGTGGAGTCGGCGGGCGAATCGTTAAGGAGGGGAAGAGGAATGGTTGGCCATTCATTCGGAGCCACCTCCAGGTCTGCAGAATGGTTGTGCAGGAATTGGGTCTGTCGGGTCTAGTGAAAAGGAGGACCAGGGGTGACAGGACAGCAGATCAGGATTTGCGTGTGTGTGTGTGTGGGGGGGCTGCCACAGAGAAGAGGGGGCCAATCTATTCTCCAAAACACCTGAAGGCAGGACAAGAAGCAGATAACAGATAATCAGACTTGGAAGGGACCTTATAGGTCATCTAGTCCAACCCCCTGCCCAAGCGGGAGACCCTACACCATATCTGACCGAGGGCAGTCCAGTCTCTTCTTGAAAGCCTCCAGGGATGAAGCTCCCACAACTTCTGAAGGCAACTTCTGTTCAATCGGTGGATTGTCCTCACTGTCAGAAAGGTTGAATATTTCCAGGTTGAATCTCTCCTTGGTCAGCTTCCATCCATTATTCCTTGTCTGGCCTTTGGGGGCCTTGGAGAATACCCCCTCCTCTCTGGGGCAGCCCCTCCCTCAAACATTGGAAGATGCTCTCCTGTCTCCCCTGGTCCTTCTCTTCCCTAGACTAGCCAGGCCCAGTTCCTGCAACCGTTCATCATTCATCGTATGTTTTAGCCTCCAGTCCCCTCATCATCCTGGTTGCTCTTCTCTGCACTT